GCGGCAGCCGCCACGCGCAGAAGAGGCTCGCTCAACGCTCGCCCACCGCCAAGGCCTGCCTTCCGCCAGGGACCACCGCCGGTGCTACCACTCTACCAACAGTGGTACTCTAAGCGAACACAACGCCATCTATCGCCCGGCGGTGGTCACCACCGAAATAAAGCCTTGGGGCGAGACACGCGCGCCATGCGGCGCAGACAACTTTACAGGGGGGGGGGGGGTGTCAGCACCCCCACAAGGCGAAGCTCAAGCGTCCTTCAAGTTTTGTAATTTTTGTGTTTGTGACTTGTAATTGTCCCACAATATACATAATACTCAACCGAATCACCTCTGCCATATCCACCAATTGCTACCGCGTGTAATAATAATAATAATAATAGTAATAATAATAATAATAATGATAATAATAATAATAAACTACAATATGAATTCTCTCGGGTAACCTGCAAGGCTGGACAGCAAACTTGCTTACGATCATTCGGCTGCTAGCTCGTCACCGCTGGGCGAAAGAAATCGGAGGCGACATATATGAGGTTCTGTAGCTCCTTATAGCAGCTTTTATGTTGGCCCACGCCACTGTGCACCGTACTTAAACAGAAAATAATTTAATAAATAAACAAACAAATGAATGAACAAGTTGTGTGGTGCGGAGCAGTCATTGTGATCACCGCTGTTGGAGCCTGGTGCAAAGCTAGTCCGCGTACCTCAATGTAGATAAATCTGCTCTTCCTCGCTATGCCTCATTCATGACAAACGTGTTTTCGTACAAAAAACTACGCAGTGCAAAAAGTCTGAAAAGTGACGTGGGAATACAGCGCACCACTCGCTGTAGCCGCTTGCACGTCACCGCCGCCGTTCACAACACGCGCCCCCGGGTTGCTAGAGCAAGACAGGACTGCAGCGCTACTAGTTCTCGGGACCGCTACACTGCCCGCCTCTCCGGTGGAGCTATCAAACTGAGTTTGTTCTAGTAACGTTGCCCCTTACTTGATCTGTACGTCAGATAACTTCGCATTGTTGAACATAACAAACTTTAAGCTCTATTTCAAGAAATTAGTTATCCAATCGATGAGCTTGTTGTCGCCAAAATTGTGAAAAAAAAAAAGCTTTACATGGCAAGCCATGTCAAAACCCTTGAAATAGTCAATAAATAAGGCATAAATCTGTCTACGGTCGTTAAAGGAAGCAACAATGTCGTGCGTACATTCAAGCAACTGTGTAGTCATCGGGAAAATAGGTTGTGTGCATTTGGGTATTCCACATATTATTCGTTGATTATATGGTCCAAAAGTAAGGAGCTGGTATAGAAAGCAAAGATAACAGCCTATAATTTGCTATTTGCTTTTTCGCGGACTCAAGGGGACTCATTTCTGCAGTTGAGGAACTGTTGCACAGATCTACAGTAGACTCTCAGTAAACGGAAATCTGTTAGACGGAACTACTGCTTAAACAGAACTATTATTTCTGTAATGCTCGGTTTCGAGCTTGCATTCTGCACCTATGTTCAGTTCTGAATAAACGGAACTCCTGTTAAATGGAACATATTTTTCCAGTCTCTTCAGGTTCCGTTTACTGAGAGTCTACTGAGCTTTTTAAATATTACAGTAAGATAATTAGCACACCAAACTGACTAACACTTTAAAAGTATTTTTGGCATACCGTCTAGACAAGTGTGTATCGAGACTTGAAAATTACTATTAAGTTATGCACTTCAGAGGAGCTCAACTCAAGATTAGAAACAGCAGGTCGTTTGCTGAACGCAGGAAATGAGGGAGTGATGCCGTTAGCGGTAGAAAAAAAAACAGACTTGAACTAATTATTGCAGGCATTTGCTATAGCTTCCGGATTTGAGGAGGACTGGCCATCAAGAATAAACAAAGAGGGCATAGGCGATACAGGAGTAATCGACCTTTAGAATCTAGATAGATTTTTTTAATAACTGTAGTGCATGCATTGCTAAGATAGTAGTTGTTAGCCTCTTGATTTTAGCTTCTATTTACTTTCTAATGCATCACCTCAAGAAGCATTATCATTACACTTGGAATGAAGATTCTTACATAAGCACTTTATGCGACGAGTGAGCCTGATTATATTTTTATGGTAGCAGGGGTGTCTAGGGCTTCATTTAACATATTTGTGTGGCACACACTTTGACAGGCATTACACAAAACTTAAGCAAGAGCGCATCTACACAGCAAAATCACCCACAATCAAATTCCTCAAAATATGACACTAATGTGTCCAGTGCACAATGAATACAAATACAACACTTGATACACATGACACACAGCCACCTTCCAGCCGCGAGGCCAGAAGCTGATGACACAAGAGTCATCAGCTTTAAGAAAGTTCAAAAAGTTTTCATCTAAGGTCTTTGAGGGTAACACCCCAAGTTTGAGGCAACTTAAATAAAATTATGATAAAAAACCTTCGACGACTTCACATTTTACCGTGCGATAGCAGCTCGCAGACCCATAATGAACTTAGGCTGCCACTTACTCTTTTTATCTAAACTCGCAAAACTGTAAAACGCTAGTGTATGGGAATACGGCTGCTCCCAGAAAAAAGCAGGATTTGCACAGTGATATTATAGCATGCAGAAAGGTAAACGAGCCGTTCGCTGGTGCCTGCTAAAATAGTGAAGGCGTTAGCACATGCTAGAACTCGCGACCACGCCCTTATATTCAAAGTTCACTGATGTGGGTCGAGCCATGCAGCCTCCCACCCGAGTATCCCTTCATACTCCTTTGTCCAGTAAAAGCGAGACAGGGCTTCCTCTCCAGTTGAGGAGCAATCAAAGGTAGGCTTCGCACGCGGAGTGATGTTATCGCATGCATTCTTTTTACCATGGAGAAAGGCAGCTTGTTTCATGTATGCTTCACCTGTGTCCCTCGCTATAGCGCTCGTGATATTTTATCTGCAGGAGCAGCATACAGTGTGCGTACAAGACTAATTTAATTGAGCTTTATACGGAACATGACAGGGATGATGAAAGTCTGTAGAGAGTGTCCATATATTTCTTCTCGAAACCAAAAAATATACAAAAACTGTCAAAGCGGGCAGGTATTTGTTATGGAGCGTTGCGTTGTCTTTGCTGTAAAGAATTCGTCTATTGGGAGGATGAAACGATTCGGAGCGTTTTCCTTTCGTTTGGTTCTCAATTATATTGCACTACTCTCTCTTTACTACAATTCTCCCAGGCTCTTCGACATTTATGTTTTCATATATCATGTGTGCAATGTGAGTGCTAAGCATTGAGCTTATCAAGATTTCGAACTAATTGGCTACACTTTTCTTATTTGCATTTGCGCAATCAAAAAGTCACAAAATGCAGCGAAATTACAAGCTCATTGCGCATGATAGTTATGCGAGACGAGAGGAAGAACGGGGCTAGCTGGTTGCGAGCGCATGGCAAAGGAGGGTACAAAACAATTTACACTTCATATTTGTCGTACATAGACCGTTCCGTACTTGCAGAGAGCATTTATTGGCAATGAAGGGAATGCTATGACGCCAAACTGGACATGTGCCACCACTGAAAAATATAGTCACACAATTGTGTCCGTATTTTCTGCATGAAAATTATAAAAAACAACATTACCTTATTTTATACAGAATGTTGTTTATATGAAGACGCAGCATACACCAATGACATATTCATAATTCTTTTACTTCTTGCAATGTGATTTCATGGTTCTTCACTCGTCAAAACATCACTCGTTTTATGTACCTGTCAAAATGGCGTCTTCACTTTAGGGTGAGTGCTCGTTGCCATCCAGCTGTTCCGACGACTCACCGAAGAAACTTGACAAACTTCACTTACATATGGCTGTCTCACATATGCAGTGTTATTATTCAAACACCACCGTCATTCGAAGCGCGAGTTGGACTGGACTACTTGGCGGAAGAGTTCATGTGCAGTAGCTCTGCCCCTGTAGCTTTCCCTTCAATGCGAAGAAAAGTTGTCCACGAGTATATATAAAGTATGTGCCCTAATCATGTCACGTGAATCACTGTTCTGGCGTCACGAAGGGCACCAAAAGAACGAGAATCGCCAAGAGAAACAACACGCTCAACAGTGCATCTTCAGAAGCTGTTTTAAGGCCCTTACATGAAAAGCGCATGTAAACATGAAATCAATAAAGCAATCACGACACCGCAAATGCCACTTCCAGAAATCTTAAAGCGGCAGAAAAGAAGTTGAAGTGATGTATTTATGGCCAGATTCCCCGCTCGGGTAAAAATAAGCCAAACTTCGGCGGCAATGCGAACGACGTGAGCAAGAATGGGCGGCGGCAGCAGCGCACACCTCTAGAGCGAGGTGTGCAAAAGGCACTGGCTTCTCCGCCAGAACGAAGTGAGTCGAGAGAGATGCGTTCAGCAAATATAGCGATTGCTGTATCTCCACTCCTACTTTAGCATCTTACTAACCCCAAGGTGTTTTTATGTCAAGGGAAAGGGGTGGTTTATGAACAACTGAAAAGAAACACTCATGCTTCACACACTTGCATGCAAGCAGAGAAAGTGAAAAATCTTTGCAACACGGCATGCTGCTAGTGTCAACAATTTGAAAAGACAGCTTGTCCTCTTCAAGATCAACACAAGCTCCCTGACTACACGTCCGCTCTAGCGACACCTCGTGTTTCAAAGATATTTCATTTTTACAAGCTCCAATGAGTCCTGTTTTGTTGGGTGAAGTGTTCATATGGGTTTGGCACACTGTTGGCAGTTTGAGCAAACCTTAGGATAAAAACTAAATAAATAAGCACCCAACACGGCATTAGCTGCAGCTTTCTTTGAACATTGCAATAATACAAAGAACTTGAAGAAAAGGTAAAGGAAGAGACCTGCTTTCTCTACCCCTTATTTTCTTGTTTTTGTCCTGAAATTTGATACAACTTCGATAAAGTGCCAACACATACAAGAAGCCCAGGCCAGACCGCCTGAGGTTTGGCCACCTATCCGCAAGAGACATCACAGTTCAAGATACGGCCACTTACGTAGTTGATGGTTTCCATGGCTGGCGAGGTTCGAGATGCGGCAACTCTTGCTGCATCCAGCTGCACAACACCAAAGACAACAACAACAAAATGCTACGACTGAGAATCGTTCAAGGAACAAGCTTCATAGAACACTATGGTAATTGCCGGTGTCAAACATTTTTACAATGTGGATTTAGTATTTACAAAATATTATACCTTCATTATTATGCATGAAAAAAAACAAAGGAGTACTAGTTTCTAACAGAATGATGCCATATAGCAGCACTTTTCAGTTTTAGATGCCTAAATATTTCTTGCCAACTCAAAACTGTCAGCATTGATCCCTCTGTCACATAAGCAACAAGAAAAAAACTCGGCACCTGCTATAAACTGGTGACATACTAAAGCACAAGCACAAGCCTGGCTGCAATTATGTTCGGCATTGAAATCGACCCTCTCAACCACAGAGTTTTGTACAATATTTACTAGAGGAAACTGTGGTGCTGCAATCATGCAGCCGCCATGGCAATGATAGGTAGTGCACGGAGTTGCCTAGTCTTCATGCTTGCAGGCTTTGAACGTGGTTGGACGTGTAGCTTTGTTTGCTGTTGTGCTTTGATACTGTTTCGAATGAAAGAAGGGACTGTTGTGAACTTTATAAGCAGATAAAAAATGGTGGAGAACTGCTGAACTTAGTCTTACGACAAGTTGGCTCTATGCCTCAAATACGCGTACTGCCCATCATTCCCATGCTGGCTCAAGCACCGTGCTTTGCAGCTCCCATAGACATTAGCGCCGAAGTTCTCTCGGGTGTACTATTATAAAACCCTATGCTTAGAATCCCTCATGAAAGTACTTTTCCTTTTGTGAGCCTTCTTGCTTTAGAAGACTGCAAACTTGAGCAAAATACAGCAGAAAGTGCTTATAACTCAAGTCGATGGAGTCACGAATATTTGCACTGTAAGCGGTAATACACTATAAGCAAAACAAGCTTTTTTAAAGGCCGCACATGTACAGAATGAGTTGAGAATGCAGTCGTGCATCTTAGAATCAAGTCATGCGATGAGGGGTGCTTACAACCATTAAAACATTCGAATTTTCAAAAATTAATGTCTTAATTAAGGCCAATAATACCAACGAAATGATTGCAGAAGAAATGAAACAAAACTACATAAAAAAGCACCATGACAAAAATTCGCCGCCTCCATTTCAGACCATCTATTATGCATATTACACAAACTATGTTGAACCGTGACCAAAATTTCATTTCAAGTCCTAGTCTTGAATGCACCAAAGTGCCCAAGACATTGAAATGGAATTGTGAACCACCATTTCAGTTTTACACATTCCACCCCTGCCCGCATTTTGATTAACGATATGATTTTCCTTTCCTTCAAGTGCAGCCACCACGAAGAGCTTTGTTGATTCCATATCAATCAACAACTTCGATGAGCTGCAACCACTGCCAAAAAGCAACCTGCACTGATTAGGCCTAGGTGGCGGATTGGCATGCTGTCATGGAAAGTTCAACGAAAACAACATGAAAATCAGCCGTTGAAAAGGTCACACTCAAGCACTGACCCAAGATCAGTGCAGGTGATACCAAGTTTGGGTCTGCAACTGAGAGATCAACAGTGACAAAAGCCCGCCAAGCTTATGCAAGTCACTTGCAGTGAAAGTTAGTAGTTCACATCATCAAGCAATTAAATTTGCAGACAAGGTAGCAAATGCAGCACCTTTGCAAGTGCGATGATGATAATGCTTTTCTAGACAGCAAACTCAAGGTACACTTGATGAGGATGTGATTACACATTCCGTGCGGAGCACTCTCGGCCGGACGCTGTAGCAGTGCAAAGGCTTCTCTGTCTCCTAGAAAAACGCCCTCCTTTCTCACTTAGCCAGCTTGCACAGCGCTCCTAAGGTCTCTATTTTTTTTCTCATCCCTCCTCCGCCTACCTGCTTATTCACACTGTGTCCCCGCGTTCATTGTGACGACCTCATCGCTCCCACACCACAGGCACACCACGGACCCACCATCATGTTTATCAGAAAGATTTTCTGGCAACCACATTATAACCAGTCGTTTCTTTTGGGGGACCACACATTAAGTGGTATGTGTACACATGGGGTTGTACAGGAGGATAAACGGGAGTCGAATAAGACTGAGTCGTAACTGTCCCCACACTATAAGCACTTGCATTTTAAGTAGCCTGCACTGCACCCAGTATGCATCAGTAAGGAAATATATGCACCTACCTAGCTCCACATTCTTTTATGTTTTCACTAATAATGAAAAACAATAGTTGAGCCCATGGAGAAAGAATAATTTGAGGAGGAAAAGCACCCGAGGACGATGCAATATTGCATCAAGGCAGATGCAATTTTCGCCGCAGCCCAATAGAGGATGCTTCCAGCACGTTGCCATGGTTTACATGTATTCCTATGTACATGACAAAAAAAAAACGCAATGCCGTTTCTTATAATGAAATAACATTGTTCAGCTGACACTGTATTCCAGGAACAGCAATATGACACCGACGAGAAAGACACATGAGCAAATGACTGATGATGATTATTTACAGCTGAAGCCCAATAAATGCCTACACTGATTTCTTCAGCTGACCGAAGCAGGTAGCTGGGCTGTGAATTACACGTGGAATGCATATAAAACGGCTTGAGACATGAAACATGCATGACCTCTGTCCGATGGCAGAGGGGGCATGAAGAGTTGTGACACAGTAGTTCACTGGCGTGATCTGTTTTGTAACTTCGTAGGGAACAATATAGTGAGACTCAAGCTTTTCGCATAAAGCAGGGGTTTGTGCAGGCGTCAATAGGAGTATATCACTGCCAGGGCAATGGTAAACGACACGGTGAGTGGCATCGTAGCAATGTTTGCCATCTTCTTGGCTAGCTTCAGTGTTTATCCAAGTGCGAAAACGGTGCTGGGCAATATGGAACACATACTAACAATTGATGAGGCCAGAAGAAAAAACTTCGAGTGAATAGGTTGCTTGGCATCCATATATACTATGAAAAACAAAGAGTAGCCTGTGGTTCATTGAACAGACCTACTATACACAAATGTGACAAATGGGAAAATCACATTCCTGTTATGGTGGTCAGGTTGGATATGCACTATAGACCATATATAATGTAACCCCTTATAGTGGACAACTGGTTACAATATGGTCTTCTTTGACTACCGTTTACCCTGCCATAAAACCGCATGTATACACACATCGCTTATTGTGCATTACCCTAAGATGGAAGACCAGTTATAACACTGTTCTAGGGAAATCGTTGTGACAAACGTGGTAGCGAATGTACGTCTGAAAGGAGGTGCACAAGGTGCAGCCCGGGCAAGCAACGAGGTCGCTACGAAGGAGGGAATATGGAGTGAATGAACAAAGAGCAGAGGGAGGAAAAAGAAAAGAAGGGCTCACCATGCTGGGGAGGGCTCACCATGCAGTGGCACATGTGCATTAACACACAAGATGGAAGTTTCAGAAGACTTACATTTATTCACAAAGAACAGGACATCCGTCACGATTTGAAGCAATCAGTGATGCGCGTCTGCACGGCGAGTCAATCAATTTTGCACGCAGCTTGCAAAACATTTCTACTTCTGCTTCAGCATTCTCCTGGCAAGGGAAGTTGCACGCGGCAATGTCCAGTGCCGGCGCTCTCTGAAGACAGTGGGTGGAGTAGTGGTTAGAAGAGAAAAAAAGAGTGGTTACAAAAGAAAGAAGGTGCTCAATTTCTGCAACCCGGTAGGGAGCCCGGCACAGCGCCTCAACTCAAAAAACGACGACAACAACGACTGCGTCTCTGCTACTACCCTTTGCACCACAGCCGCAGCGTGGCCAACACTTGACGAGAAAGGAGGAGCGTCTCCTCGCAGAGAGAAGCAGATTGGTATTTGAGAGAAAACCAACACTCTACGGCAGCTTTTTGTTTTTGCTCTTTTCGCGCGCGTTGTTAAAACGAGAAGGGTTTATGTGGCAGGAACGAGAAATGGGGAAGCGTGGTACCGGCGTGTGAGAGAAAGCCAAGACTCCGCTACAGCTTTCTTTTTTTTTTTTCTCTCTTTTCTGCAAGGGTCAGAAACAACTGATTTCGCAACAACTTTCTTGCGAAATTCACGGTAGTGCTGTAGAAAAATGATACCTATTCCTTGCCCACTAGCATCAGTGTGTAGTAACGTAGGTGCCTTGTCATCGAAATAACAAAGAACCGGTAGGGATGTCAGTGCATGCTTGAGTACTTGGAGTGCGGCTTCACACTGATCATCCCAATTAAAGGAAACGGTACAAGCAAGGAGCTAGAGGAGTTGAGTGGCAATGGTGGAAAAGTTGCGGATGAAGCGTTGAAAGTATGACGTGAGCCCAAGGAAGCTGCGCAGTTCCTTTGTACAAAATGGGCGTGGAAAGTTGAGTACTGCCGAAACTTTGTCTGAATTGGGCTGAATGCCATCTCTCTTAAACATAGAGTTTCCTATAAATACACTAGAGGAAACTCTGGAGCTAGAGTTACCGGAAGTTGCAATGCACAGCGCTTCAATGAGCATGGGAATGATAGATAGTAAATGAATACTTCAAAACATTGTTCTGGCTCCGTTTGCCTTCGTGCGGTTCAGAGCTGCATTGTCACAAAAAAACAATCAGCACAGGTTTAGAAGATACGCCTCACCACCTTAAGAGGTGGGTTCTAATTTTTTAAAAATTTTTTGCTCAATCTTAACCAAACTTCACTACCTAAGCTATTTTTTCATGCTGATTGCAAATCTCTAATTTGTTTCTTAATATTTCAAGTGGTTTAGAAAATATGAAGGTCTGAATCTTAATTAATTGCGTAATTCTTACGGGACTTCTTGGGAATTTATTTTTGCTAAATCCAAAAAGTGAATGCATAATCCCAATGCTGGAGACTTGCTGTAGGGGGTGATGCTATTTTTATCCATTTGAAGGCATTTTATAAGCAAGAAAATGGACGAACACTTTTGGTCACTATATTACAATAAATTTCTCTCTAAAAAAAAACTAAAATCTTCAATGGTAATTTTTTAAGTAATGCTA